TCTCATGGATAGCTGCTTTCCAATTATGAAACAGTAGCTGATAAGTAATCTCCCAAAGAAGAAAACAGGCAAGAAGCGTCCTCCAGAACAACATAAACAAAATCGCTCCCTCACAGTCACACCTCCCTGCGGTCTCTGTGCAACCCCTAGCTCACAAATCTCTCTATCACATCTCGCAGTAGTTGATATCATCCAGTGCAAAAAAAATACAAAAAGAAAACAACAAAAACGCAGAGGAAAAACTCTTGGAAGGAAAAAGGAATTTTATCAACGCGGTGTCTGAATTTGGGATTACGGTAGCGCACGTTTTGTGCGTCGAGGTTTTGCATCACGAAAATTGCGTCACTCGTGCTTTTTACGCGTTTCACCTCGCGAAATGAGTTCAATTGATGTAATAGCCTTCAGCATGAGTAAACTGTAATTAAAGGGACCAGAAGTTATCCATGGGCCATTAGCCAATGCGCGCCGCCCTAATTAAGACAACTGCAGTGGCTCCGTTACAAAAGTCTAGCAGCAAGTAAGGCGGTCCAACTGAGCAGGCGTTAGAACTAGAACTTACAGCGGCTGTAGCTCGCTTCTCGCTCGCTGTGCAGACGAATAGAGTGGGACAGTCTTTAGCTTGGGCTGGACTACTTGCATAAGAGCACCTACCATGCTTATACCTCGGAGAGCGCCGCGGCGGGCTGTCTTTAGTACCATAGTAGTTATTGTACGCTTCGCAATACAGGCGCGGCGGTACCGCGCCGGACGCTCGCTAAGGCGCCTTGCCTTAAGTGTATAGAAGAAGCGGGACAAGGTTGCATGGAGCAATGTGATGGACTTGCTTCACAATCATTTGGTCGCAGCACCGGTTTTGAAGGGTTTGACCTTTTGTGCCTTTTGTTTTCTCAGATTTACTGTTCAAAAGGGCATCGCTAGATCATGAGGGCCTTGCTTTACTTTACTTGCTTGTACATCACATTTACCATCAGCTCTCAACAGGCCAGGAACGCTTTCCGCCCAAAGATTGAGCACTTTTAGGCTTTTGCACAAAACGAGTGCCACATGCCAACGAGTGTCGCTACGGAGCTCTTGTTGTTTCTAGAAGCAACTTTATAGTCAATTCAAAATTTACCCTTAGGCTGCGTTTATACTTTGCGGCAGCGTAGCGTAGCGCGTAGCGTAGCGCTTCCAGCGTACGCCAGCGGCAGTGTCGGGGAAAGGATAGATATCGATCTAGCGTTCCCAGCGTCACCAGCGTACGCTACGTACGTGGCACGCTAGCGTGCCGCATCCGATATCCATCCTTTCCCCGACACTGCCGCTGGCGTACGCTGGAAGCGCTACGCTACGCTGCCGCAAAGTATAAACGCAGCCTTACTTCGAAATAATGTTTGTATGGCGGCCGCTGGTGAAGGGGCTCGAAAACCGTTGGAGTGACCATCGCTGACAGGCTTAGGACGGAATGAATCTCTATTTATCAGAAAACATCATGCAAAGACAGCGTGGAAGGCAGATCAACGCGAATGGTGTGATGGGGCTTCTAAGAAGCCCAAGCTTTGAAAGGAGCTGCGACTGGCTAAATATTAGGTCATCCCATTCAAACTGGCCGCTGGTTTTTTTTAAAACAAAGAGGAGAATAGATAGAAAAGTGATATTTTAGCTTTAGGATGAGTAAATCCCTCCTTCACCAATGACCCGCTCCCAGTGCCCCGAGGGCCTTTGGACCTCTGGTACCTTCGATTTTTCAACAAGTGTGGGTAAATTGCTGTTGTTGCCAATTTCGGCAAATGACAAAACATTGTAGCGTCTGCCGTCGGAGAGTACTCTCAACTGAATAGAACAGTTGTAATCGCATGGCTTTATGACGGGCGAATGGGGCGATTGAACCCAGGTCTCAGTATTGTTTGTGTCCCAGCACTGATCTACAATACAGTTACTCGGGGTCTGGCACTATGACGAGCAACGGTGGCCTTCTTGTAGTTGTGTGGTAGCATCCATTTGTCGATCTGAATGCCGAGGAACAGGCAATATGCACCGACAGTGACGGATTTGTTCTCTGTATAGAGCCGCTTGAAAGCCACAGTGTGGGAATCCTTTGCTATGATGATCATCCACTTGCGCCCACGTAACTCTTCATGGTAGAACTCGGGCGGCTTCTCATCTGCATTCATACAAAATTGACGATTGTGAGTTTCGGCTCGAGGTCCGAGACCACCCATATTTCATCTAAGGCCTGGGTGCGTTTTCACAGTTGTGAGTGACATCTCATGCTGAGAACATTACTGCTAGAGGTATAGAATCGGTACTGCGTTCGTGCTTCTATAAGAAAATTGGGTACCCATGCGCACACCCCCTTGACCATCCTCAGTTTATCGGTCATAACACGTACAGTAATTGCAGCAGGGATGTCAGTCTCGCGGGGAAACCCGACAAAGGTCCAGGCTCTGTGATCAGATATTCAGTGCCTGACTTCATCCACCCGTTTTTCTTGTGCAGGATGAATATTATGGGACCATCCACGACAACAAATTTTTTCCTTTCTTCCTTGTACGGGCTCCTGAACCAAATCTTCCACCGTGTATTTCGAGAACACCCTTACACACAACTATGGTCCGGCGCAGGTCAAATTTGAGCAGCGCACTTTCCTCTTATGACGTCTGATTTGAAAAACCGGCGCCGATTTTCACCACTCGGGCTTCTTTTCAATTTCTCGAGAACTTCTTCTGGGGCTAGGTTCGCCAAATTTCACAGATACACAGCTTAAGGTACTAGCTTCCAAATGGTATAGTAGCCCGCTGCTCTATCCCCTTTGCTCTGCCATTCCTCTATATGTAGCGGCCAGTTTGAATGGGATGACCTAATATTAGGTTGTCCCAAAAGTTCTGGGACACTTTCAAACTTTTTTCGAATTAAGTTTATTCCAGTGGGAAGCAATTTTGATCAGCTATATATATGTCACCTTCATTGGCAACTTGTTGCCAATCACTACGCAATGTGTGGTTGCCCTGCTTCCAGAAGCCTCTTAGTTCTGTGCCCAGAAAGGCAGCTGGGTCATTTTTGAGGTACTATCAAAAATCGTATTTTTTACCAAGAAGATGGCCGCTGTGGGATTAGTTTAGATGGCGATCGGAAAGAGCTAAGTCAGGGCTACACGAAGGTTGTGGTGGAATTCCCCAGCTTCGGGATCTCGAGCAGTGTCGTTTTCCAAATGTTTGACCCTGAGGTGTGGTGGAGTAGGCAAACATTGCTCGGTTTTGGGACCAAATGGTAGAGATTTTCCACCCCACTTTGCAGTTGATTACAATAGGGCTCCCTGGTTACCATAGCGTTGGAAGGAGGAATTCCGTTTCGAGAGCGGAGAAAGGTACCCCACCACATACACAGCCTCACCGCCCTACTGGATTGATAGGATTGCGCGATCGGTTCTGCCCTTTCTGGGGGATCTAGCCGCTGGCGCTCCCAGGAGTGATTCACTAGAGGCACCCACTCCATATCCAGTTACAGTGCTGTTCAACCAGCCCGTACAGCGGAAGCGGGAAAGAAGTTGTAGACAGTACCCACATGTGCTCCCCTTGGAGTACTGGTCAACTGATGAGAAAAATTTTGACCGAACTTCAGAACTTTTCTAAGGGAGCGAGGCCTTCTCTCATTTGTGCTTTGGGACCAGTCAAGTGTAAGGACTAGATAGCAAGTTGATTCGTACGAATTGGTTTTAATCAAGGAACACAGTAGGTCCAAATCCAAGGCAGGTGGCCTCCTTGGACGAAGTTTTTCACCCGGATAGAAGTCACTAAAGCAGAAGCAATTGAGCCATTCCAAAGCCGTACTGTGGAAGCTAACATCAAGATCTAAATAAGGGAAATGCCGCTTATGGCTCCAACCACGTTGTGGCTTGGTAGAGATTCATATAGCGAAGTGTGTCGAAAATGATGAATTTCAATTACCGTTTTTCATATGAGAACAGCGACTGCGAGGGACGGTGAAGAAGCTGTGGAATGCTTACCTCACACACTTCCCATAGACCACATAACTGGATCTCGAAATGGCTGCGGAAAAATCTGATACGAGATTCAAAAAGTGTCCCAGAACTTTTGGGACAACCTTAGTTTCAGTGCAGGGCCGAACGAGAGAGAAGAGAAGCATTGTGCACGATCAAATGCTACAATTGACTCAGAAACATGAGCCAGAAACTGCTTTCTTCGAGTCGTGACTGAGAAGTTATTTCATTCCTAACATCAAGTCTTAAACTTGGGTACACCCCTGAAACTGGGGCTCACACTTTTAACTGCAGCAACGTTTTAGAAATGCTGAAAATGCACTGCAAGCTAGTCTGATCCTCTGAGCACGGATATAGCGTTGATTTTACATAGAAACGTCTGAACGGCTTGAGACGGATCCTAGCGCACCCATGCTTTAAAAAAAACGCTGTGGAAACCCTTGACAACTTTTTTGAGGGAAACGCATGATAGTTTTTGAAGGTATTCTGAGCTTTGGAAAATGCATCTAATGGCATAGGTCTCGTCACAAAGGCCGCTTCGACAGTCAGAGGGGCCTCCTCTCGCTAGGTCAACTTTTCCACTTATTCCTGTGGTGCTACTTAGTGGATTTCTAGATTTGAAAAGCCTCAAAAGGTTTCGGAAGGAATTGAGAGACGTTAATCAAGCTTACTCCTAGTGTGCCAATAGTACAGTCTATAAGGTTACAGTACTTATACTGGCAGCAGTACCTTTTTTCTCCTAATATCTCTTCAAAAAAAACAGACATTGTTTAGTTTTCAAGGGGGATACACCTACAAATAGATAATTCATTGAAAGGTGTTGTGACAGATCCTTAGGTTTTCCTAATTGGAATGGGTTTGATCCCGGCATAAACAGTTCTGGTTGTGATACCGTTTTTCTTCCAGAAAAGCCTCCCAGTTGGATACGCTGTATCGAGACAGGCCTGGAAACCTACGAAAAGCTAAATTTGAGGAGTTTTTGCGCGAAATTACGAAGGAAATAAACACTCTGAATTTCGGCATGCCGGCTGAAGATTTCAGCCTTGCTGCTGTCATATATGCTTTGAGCATCGTATGTTTGTTTTTTTTCGCGTAATGAATTTTCTTTAGCATTGCCGATAGTTTGTATGTTTTAGTTGGAGCGTTGGGTACAAGACGACGATGTTACCAATACATTGACTGGCGACGCATCATCGGAACAAGGAGTACAGACAAAGAAGAAAAAGAAGCGTGAACTTCCATTCACTCGAGAACAATTCACCAATAAGCTGAAGGCCTCCTTGTCTAAATACGTCGGCACTCCTCTACATCTGTTAGGAAATAGTCGTCTCCAAATGTTGTTGAAGCTACTTCTATTACTAGTGCAGGTAAACACATGTTTTCAGCGACTCCTTATTCGAACAATGGTAGAGAGTTGATACGTCCTCGGGTGTTTGAGTTGTATACTGGTTAGTGACTATGTGTGGAGGGAGGGGCGGGAGAGGTGGGAGCTGCATTAGTTCAGTTATGCATCTGGTTCCGTCTTTCCCAGCTTGTTTCAGCGTAAATGCCAGATCAACTTGGCAGTTGAAAGATTTTCAAACTCTTCAAAGATTTTAAGCTATTAAGGCAATTGGCACGACAATCTCTGAGACGTGTGAGATCATTGCGCCTGGCAGGGCGGAGTTCCGCCACCCTAAGGAGGTGTCGCGTTTCGTCTTTTCAAAGAAAGGTACTTCTATTAAGTCCTATCAAGCCACAACATACCGATCCACGCCCTCCGCGCCCGCCCGCCCGCCCACAAATGGACGACCGTACCTGATGCTCGTATTGCTTCATTTGCTAAGTAAAATATGAAGCGAAGGGATTGATATGAAGCGGCTGCGGTGCTGCATGGATATATGAGTACATACGTGCAGCCGTACCTACCGTAGCGGTTATTGGCACGATGCCTACGGGAAACTCGTCCGAAATTGCTTTCTGAGTCATGAAGAACGAAGGCTTTTCTTCGCAGGTTTTTGACCGTTTCACTTCGTTTTTCGCCATTTTCCCCTATATATCGCCCTGCTAGCGTTTTTGCCCCTGCACCAAACTATCGTGCCAGCTGCCTTCATATTGGGTTGTGCCCTTCTTTCATACAAGGTACGACGTTTAGTAGGAGGACGAGACTATGGAAATTAGAAAATTGTGCGTAGAATTGTGAGCTTTCCCATGAACGAATTCTTTTTTTTGTAGAAAAGCGCAAGGGTGAAAATAAAGGGTATTGTGCGTCCGTCCACAGGTGAAAGGTTGAAACGGATCATGCTGAAGTAGAGGGTGCGATATGGCACCTTTGTTGTCCAGCTACTATAACCCCGAACGTTTTTATTGCCCGTTTGTATTTCATGTTTTCGTGTGTTATTCAGATCAGTTTTTGACCGGCTTTTTTCCGAAGGCAAACGTTTTGACCGACTTTTTTCGACGAGAGCGGGCTTGGCTGAAAAGTATTCCCCCTGGCATAGTTTCACCTGCATCACATCTGCTTGGTCCAAAACCTCATAGCGCCCACACCACACGTGCCGGTGCTAAAGTACCCTAGATCACCAGCTTTGCTGAGAACTCGTTCCCAAGGTAATTTGACCTCCTGAACACGATTACCTTATCTGTGTGAGTTAAAGAAAGTTAAGGAGTGAAGTGAAGGAAGCGCTGTGACAGCGCAGGCTGCTTCTGCTCGCCTAGACCTTCCTCACGAGATACTGTTTCCTTCCTCTATTAAGGCTGTCTTAGTAAAGAAAAGGGTTACTGCACTGCCAACCAGAAGTGGTGCTGCTTTTTCCGTCCCCTAATCTGCCCTAACATAGCTCGTCACAAAACCTACTGGAGTGTTTGATACAGGATCCTGAGTCGCAAGACGTATGTGAGGAGTCTCTTGCGACGTATGATCAGGCTATTGCCTCTGAAAGGGTGTGATATTTGCGTTCGGGGATAACTGCATGTGGAAGCAAGTTTTCAGCAATTTTTTAGTATTTTAGCGCCGGAGCGTGTGGCGCGGGTTCTAGGGGTTAGGCAAGTGTGACATTCGTGTTCTGAAGGTCAAACTACTCTTGGAAACAAGTTTCTAGCAATTTTAGTGACCTAGGGTACTCATGCGTCGGCGGCTGTGGCTCGGGCACCATGAGATTTGGGGCCAGTCGGCATGATGTCGTGTTCAGGAGATCAGCCGGGTAACAACTATTTCTGCCCTCACGGAAAAGTCGGTCAAAAACTGCCCCGATCTGGGATGGTTAGAAGGGTGAATATGTCGATATTTTTCAAAGGTGAAGTTTCGGTCGAATTATTTTTTTTACCGCTCTGTCTGAAGTATTCTCTAGCTACTTTGCAGACCTTGCTCAGCAGTGGTATTCGAAAGAAAGACAACTACAGTGTGGATGTCGAATCTGTCCGGCAAGCCATTACAAGCTTTCTACTTAGGAGGGATGGCGATGTTAAGGTTAGCTGTGCTCTTACATTGTCAAAGATCTATGCTCTATCCGAAAATTATCGCGTCAGTCATCATTGCGAGACTGCTGTGTCCACAATGCGCGACAAAAGACGCGGTGACGCGATACGGCCTATCTGATCATGTTTCGAGCAGGAATGGATTTTTGTAGAATTGACCGTCATGCGGTAGCAGTTGGGTGCTGATACATTACGCGGGCTAGACCCCCTTTTGTAGTAACACTTAGATCCTCTCTTCACCTATTTCAGATTTATGGGAGTTTTGGAAAATTTCTTAGGACGCGTAGACCTTGAAATAAACTGAATTCTCATAGTATCTAAACTGTTGATGGCATGGTCCTTGATCTGTTATTTGAAATTTACTAGGAACTTCGGCCGAACAAATTCTTGGCCATTGGCCGTGTATTTCTGATACGATATGTCTTCAGATTTCTTCAACGGATAGCCTCGCTGCGCTAGACGAATTCAAACAACTGTTCCGAACGCTGGATCCAGAACTGAAGGTTAGTGAAAAGTTTTTTTCAAGAGTCGCTCGTGTTGGGTATACATAGGTCCGGTGTAGTCTACCACTCCTAAACAAAAACACTTCCGAAAATGTATAATAGTTTCTCGTTTGTGCAGTTCTAAAGGGGGACTGCCGCCATATCCTTACAAGCGGAAGTCAGCAGGCCGTCATGGTCATCAAATAAGGGTTGCCGCATCGACGTTTGCAGTCTGGACAGCGGTTCAAAGTCACTCTTCGAGTGTTGCGGCGATGATACCATAATGGAATTATGAAGACTCTTCGCTGGTGCAAATGCCCTACCATGCTGCCTTTTCTTATACAGGAGAGAGAGAGGGGGAGGGGGCAAAGAAGACACTTTGGCCGAGGCTTATATCAATGAAGAGAACGCAACCTAGAGAGAAGACATGGATATGAGTACCAGGTAGGAAGATATGGTTTTCTCGGTAAGCAGAGCAAAGCTCCACTCTCATCCACAACCTTCCTCACTTCCTGTACACCAAAAATATGAAACCATCTCCAATTGTAGCCGGACTGAAGAAGGCCCATGACAATGTACATTACCTCCGAACAGCTGCGAAACTTGCTGTATCGAGTCACCCATGGACAGCTACCTGGGAAGCGGCACTCTTGATTGGAGGACCTCCACATCGAGCAGCTCCGACAACGTCGCTATGGTCGGATATCATCTTCTGTCCAGTCGACAAGGCGCGGTTGATGGTATTTATTTTTGGACATGCTTAAATGCATGTAATTTTGATGGAAGAAACAACGAACAGACATACAAAACAACCCAGTTGAACAAACAAACAAGATAAAACGTGGAGAAGGAAATGATCAAACTAACTTACTAAGTGAACGTTTGAAGGCATTGAGATTTTGTGGGATGAGATTGCGGCGTAAAGAGTAATTTAGCTGAGACCAACTCGTTGAGAAAAATTTGAGACCTGGGTTATGACCTGAGCGACAGCGGTTGAGAATCTTGAGCCGAGTTCGCCATAGTGTTGATAAAAGTGGAACGATAGAAATAAACTTGGTAAGCGTCCATTTTAATTAAGCATGCAAGAATTTTATCAGAGCCATGATAGAAGTTCAGATCTTCCTCCTCGATATTCAAGGATCTCACACCTAACTGTTTGTCATCGCCTCTTTTCCGGCTGGGTATATCGGAAGCTAATTTCGAGTGGAAGCAGCGATAAGCATCCAGCTATAAGATGAAAGTTGTTTTTGGACAGGCCCCCTAAAGCAGGCAGAATATCTTTCCTACTGTGAGGATTAAAGACAGTAGTCCCCGATTCAAGAATGGGGCGGACATAGATCTTATAAGCTTTCAAAAGAACCTTGGGATTTCTAGTTCTGAGTTGCGCCTCTGAAGTAGATCTGAAGAACGCGACGAGGGCTTAGCCACTAAGATTGTTAAGTGATTTGAGAAGCCGGAGCGTCTGTCGCTCCCTTACTTATGGATCACGAACATCAGAGACCAACAGCTGGAGATCGAGTTACTCCAGAACAGTATGGCGGGTTACGTTGGGTAGTCCTCCCATACACTATAAGCTTAGTTTTTTCACGTAGAGAAGAGGAAGTTGGATTAACTTTAGACCACTGAAGCAAACCATGGTATGTACCAGAAGTTCCTGGAATGGGAAGACCGATGTTTTCTTCGTGGACCCCGGACTGGAAGTGAACGCTGGATTGTTCTACTACCACAACTCGAGGAGAGTACCCTGCCTTCATGTCGTCGTATAACCATATTGGAAACTTCGTACTGCTGCAGTAGAGGGTGCCAGCACATGGGAGCAAAGGGCTTTGAAAACTAGCGCCTATCTTGGGAGCGAAGGGCCGTTGAGAACTGAATAAGACGGAATAATCACCGTTGTCACTTGTCCGCGAACCCCATTCGATTGCACCGGTCGGTCCGGGAGGAGCTCAACAGGGTGCTCTCCAGTGCTCGGGAGAAGAGCGAGCGACCTACGCTGAACTTCAGGAACCACCGAATCACTGTTCGTATGAAGTCTCTCGAATGATTTAGTAGAGATGGCTGTGCAGAGGTTCACTTGACGCGTTACAGTCTGTTGAATGTTGAACGATCCAATGAGAATTTGATGATAAAATGTTAACATTCAATCGCGCCTCGAAAAGTCACAGAAAAAAATGGTGCTTTACCCCGTCACCCTCCACCTGCACATAGCTTAAACCCTTATATACTTAAATCCTTATATACAAGGCGGAGAGATTGTGTTACCATAGCGGCATGGCTGAATGATAGTATCTGCCCTCCTATTCATTAGGCTTTTAGGGCCTGTAGGTTCAGTTTTTCTGGGAAAGGTGTCATTTACTTTCTTACCTAAATTAAATTATCCAGTCGGACGCCGAAGCGGACCGACATTAGCCATTTATATCTTTCCTCCGTGTAAAGGCTGGGGCTATGTTCGGTCCTTCCACGCATCTTCTCTCCGATTTTAATGGAAATCAACCGGCTGCTATGCCGGAACCCCTAAAGAGAGTTGGGTGCAGATGTAGGTTTGATAAGGCATGTTGCCAATTTAATAAAACGAATTATCGAGAATCATTGTGTAAACCATTTTATTCCATAAGTACCAGTCGGATCGCCCAGCTGTCGCCGGGCGCTCCTCCTTCTGTGACATGGCCCGGCTTCGCCGGGTGGGCGCGGATTTGCTGCGTGCTAAGTTACGGATCGTTGACCAACCACACTGTTCAAAGGAATGTTCTGCATCAGTCGAGAACTGAAAAGCAGCGCCCGTTTTGTCAAGAAGCAGAAGCAGCAGCATAAGGAGGAGCGCCGGCGTTAGCGAGCGATCCGACTGGTACGTTTATAACCTACACAGACGGGAGTAGAGCAGCCTATTAGATCAGCCGCTGAAGCCCCTCCCCCCTCCTAAAGCGTCTTGCTTTGGAATGCACTCCCGCATTCAGCAGTGGAACGCTTTGAATGGCCCTCACTGAGGTTGTTGATGGAAGATAGTTCTGATAAGAGTGATTGAGTCAAGTTGCTGCTGTTCATAACATCTCTGTAAACAAACCCCATGCATTCGGAATAGAGCTAGCTTAGCGGTCGTACATGATTCCGCTACTGATGAGCGGTGAGGAATGAGTTCTGTTGGAATCATTGAGATCGTTATACTTGAGTCATATCGATCGCATTGTTGTTGTGAGCGGTGAAGCGGATTTTCCCATGTTACCTTGTCACTTTCAGCTCCTATCACTTCCGTACCCGCCAATAATATTCCCGTCCCATATCACTATCATATCACCCTAAATCACTTCTCGAAATCACGCTCCCACCGTTGCTGTAACCTGCGTTACGAATTTGGTGATCATCCTCTTCCGAGACCCCTTATCGGATCTTATCAACTGTTATCACTTTCTGTCACCCGCCAATAATGTTCCCGTCCCACACCCTATATCACCTCTCGGATCCAAGGTCCCACTGTTGCCGTAACCTGCGTTACGAATTTGGTGATCCTCCCCTTCCGAGACCCCTTATCGGATCTTATCAACTGTTATCACTTTCTGTCACCCGCCAATAATGTTCCC